ATTGACTTGACTAAACTTACAAGCTGATTGTATGCTATATAGCTTCATAATCGATAATATTATGCTGTATGCATTTTAAATGTGGGATGTCTGTTAGTTGACTAATAGGAGATAATGGTATATTCACATTTAGATATCATCAGTCCTACTCTGTTCTTCTCTTCAAGCATTTATTTATCTATTACCGGTATGAACACAACATTTATTCAAATGAATATACGAAAAACGCTAAAGTATATTTGCTATGTCATTGTAAAATAGATTACCATATGTATAGGTTAACGATTATTGGATGCAATATGCAGATAGTAGAATAGCTGGCCCGAAAATTCGAACAGGCCGCCAGGTCTCATATCTTGATGATTTTTAAGAAAATATTCCGTCTTACCTTCTACATCAAGAGGTTAAGACATTCTGGTATAACCCAACCCTTACTCCTACAATTCGTTAACTCTCCCATTCTGCCTATTATTCTCTATTGTTCCGCCTTAGTTTTTCCAGGGCTACTGAAGAAGGTTTATATCTTATTATGTAGCATGTTAAAGGTTGTCAGCAGGGTAAGCAATGTGCCACTTAACCAGCTTGTTACTATTCTGGTCGACAGGCACTTGGACTCATGTGAAAAGTGGCTGAATCCATTCTATCTAACTCACACCACCCTCTTCATTCACAAATCTCCCCTTGTATCTAATCAGGCAAAACCAGAAGCCTATATAGAAAACTGTATGCTCGCACTAGCAAGTACAAAAACTCAACTATACCCTACTTAGCTCGTGTTCTGTGCAATAAAGAAAGCATTAGGCGTGAAACCTATAACTTATTAAATAGTCAGTAGAACAACTGGATCTCGTCTTTCCAACTCATATCATTTACAGGTACAACGTTTTCTTTCTTTGTTTTCCTTTTCTCTCCCTCTCTCTTTTTCGGTTATGTGCTCCTTTGTTTCTTTCTTCCGCTTACACCAGTAAATATGCTAGCATCTACTTCTCTAACACCTTCAACCACTGTTTAATTTTGGTTTTGCTGCCGACATGCTAATATGTTGTTGTCAAAACTAACTGAGAGTACCCTTAATCTATGTAGAATTTTATTTATTGTTAATTTACTAGCTGGATGCAATCCTGTAGTGAAATGCTGAGAATTTCATTCTGTATCACAAGTAGTGTTTTGGAATAAAGCAAATTATTATTATTATTGATTCGTCGAAAACGCTGATGTAGCACAGTTGATACTTTGACTAATGTGAATCGAATCAATAGAGAAATCTCTGTCTAAAAAAGCTGTATGACTTAGGACAACATTTATGCTGAATATGTAGGAGCAAATTAACAGAAAGCGGTCAAAATCTAAGTCAACATTTTAAGTCAGTGCATGCAGAGGTAGTGGTGTTTATTCCTCGAATCTGGATTTAGATTACATTGTGACGGTGGAATAAGCTCACTGGCGTTGAACAAATCACCAACCAGTTGGAACAATCTGTTGTCTGCCGACCTAACCGCCTTTCAATCTGGTTAAAAATGTGTGATCTTGACGCGTTTTTCCCTACTAAAAAGTGCCTTATCAGTTCTGTTACCTTCTATTGTTACAATACTGTAGGAGTTTGAGAACACTAAACACCTTTTCTGCTATACTTTGAAATTGTTTATCAGTGCTCACTTTTGACCCCCAACCATGGGTCCCGCTGGATTCACATCAGTTTATCGCGAAAAAAACTTCCATTTATTCAACATGATTGTCTTGTAGCTTGGGGGTTGTGATCTTATTTCTTTGAGAGATTTCAGGCAAGCACGACTGGAGAGTACCTAGCTAAGACTAAATAGTCAATTCAATGTATTTTTGATTTTCCATATTTTTACAGTTGATATCCAATAATGAAAGAGTCTACAGCGAAATCAATCAACTCCCAGCAAACCTAACCGTAGTTTATTATTTTTTCTGTTGTTGATAAGATTTTGTTTTTTGGGCAAAAGTAAACAGGCGACCTTGAGGCAACCAATCAGATCCTTCTCGGTGAAAAGTGACATTTAATTTATAGAAAAAAGTATTTATAAGATATACATGAAATAAAAAGGAATTATACAGGGTATATGCCTCTAATATGCTGCAAAAATGATCCTAGTTTTCTGTAGGGGTGGTTATAGACATATCAAACCAATGTCGATAAAAAAAAAGTTCATCTAAGTGGCTGTATACCGTATCATTTGAAGGACCATTTAGATGGGCTTAGAATCCTTCATTTGAATTTGTATGAGTTTCACTTATAGAATTTACTAATTTAAAAGAATGATTGACTGACTCTATGATGAATATAGCCTAGTGATGATAATTGCGAATGACCTCTCCACTTATCTGTGTGAATGGTTAGTGCCTGAGAGAACTAGTCGTTGTATTATTGATATTAAAACATTGACACTTCTGTTTGGGATGCTTTCTACAAGCCCAAACATGATTTTCTCTCCTCCTTCTCCTCCTCCTCCTCCTCCTACCACGACTAATTTTTCATTTAACAAGTAATGTTTTGTCAATATGAACGACGACAGCAATTCCTCCAAGTACAGAAGTAATTCCATTGATCTTTTGTAACGCAGTATCCCGACACTGCTGTTACCAATACACTGTTGACATTTTAGTATTCTCTGTTTCTACAGCCTTAACAGATACTGGTCTCTTCACTAACTATTTGTGGCATATGCGTAATATTTTACTAAGGGAGAGTTTCGATTCGAGAAGAAAGCATCTAAAAAAATCACCGTTATATACGACTTATCAACTCTTACAGACTTCCTGATATAACAGTGGTTGCATCTGAACGCATAACCATCAATAGCCTGGCCATACTTTTAAAGAGTCATTGTTCATCCACATATCCTATGTTTTAGTCCTCCACATCAACGCACTTCCCACAGAGGAGTTAAATACCAAATCTGAGTGAAACTTAAAACGAAGATTATGAACAGCATCCGTTTGTAGTGCCGAGCTATCTGATTAGTTATGTCAAGGTCATGTCCTTCGTTACAACAAATCACTATTTCAGGATTTCATCATGAGCTGACATTAGTTAGAGAACCATTGGAAAACCTGGGAGTACTGGACAGCTGTTTCGTCCTAGTTTGGGACTCTTCATCAGTACGCACCCACCGGGATTCGAACCCAGGACCTCTCGGTTTTCCCTACATGTTTTCTTTTGTACATGTTTTGATATTTTCACAAATTACAATTTGTATCCTTATAAAAGTTGGAGAAAAATCACTTTGCTTTAGTAGTAGTCATGTAGGCATGACTGTCTTGTGTTGATTTATTTTATTTTGTTTTTGTCCTTTACTTGGAATTTTCTTTTGAATACAGCATCCCATTGATTAATCGGTTGATTAATTCAAAGTAGCAGCATAAAAATACACACACACTTTTTGACGATATATCTAGACATCTTATTTTCAGGCTAAAAGAAATAGACGTAAGAATCGCCGGAAGGACAAGGTCATTCTTTGTATTATGCATATATATATTGTTTGCTCTCGATACTTGATAGAGGCCACATACATAGATCATCTCACGTGAGGTGATTCATACGTCAAGAATAAAGGACATTCACCAAAATAAGCAACAACAAAAATTAGGTAACATGGCATTACATGTCCTATTATTTTTAGATTATGATTTGTGGAATTATCTAAAATATTTGAATTGTTGAAGGATATTTAGGGGAAGTAGGCTTACGTATACATTTTTGTTTGCCAGCTGGTCAAGAAATAAAATGCCTACGACGACCTTGACGGTATTTTACCTAACATCTAATAGTCTCTCAGTGCAAAAACGTCATTACAAAGTATAACTGGGACAGTAGTAAAGTGTAATTAGTTAGTCTGATATAATACGCTGTAGTACAGTACATATTTTGATGTGTCCAGTCTTTTCGTTGGTGCAGACTGACTTCAGTCAGTCAGGTTTGCAATTTGGCCACCATTGTAGGTAGCTCACCATCACGGTGCACATAGATTTGATGATATTAGATGGTTGGTGGCAATCGACCACTGGAAGCCTTGGACCTAGGTTTCGTGCTAGTTGGCACTCACCAGTCAGCAAGGCGTATCTGCAGCCTTGAAGGAATTCATGTCCCTTCTGTGATTCGAACCCGCATCACCTAGTTAGTGCTGCAGTCACAGACATTATCACTGAGCTATTCGGGCTCGCGATCGGCCTTCTCCTGTAGGACTGTACATATTTACTACTAATGACGTTTCGAACACAAATGATTGTTTAATAGTCATTTCATTTTACCTGTTCCACTGTGGTTTTAGGTTTCCAGTATTCAATATCTCTTGATTTTTATTAGCAGCAATAGAATTAGAGTAGTTTTTTGATTAACCTGACACTATTCACTAATACTACCTTCACAAACAGACACATGTTACCACAAAACTGTGGTAAATGTGACAAATGTAAGAGGCTAACAAGCATACCTGTATACTGTCATCTGTTTAAGAGTGAAGATATGATCAGTTCCCTGTCTCTCATGTTTGAAACCCTTTTATTTTCTTCGGATATATTCCATTCTTGACCTTCACTTGCATTCTAAGTGACCATAAACCCTAATAAATAGAAGTCTGCCTTTCTAATGAATTACAAATTCCTAATTCCTCATGATTTTTATTCATCAGCTAGTTATTTAGCTAATCTAGTCAGCAATTCTTCTGCACTATCCTTAAATACTTCCAGAGTTCACCGGTGAGCACGCTTCGCCTTCCTACATTTCATATTTGAGATAGCCTATACAATTTTTGCTGAAGCTGAACAACCGGACTGTGTGTTTTGTCCAGACTTTGGTTTATGCGGTTGCAAGTTTAACCTGGCACCGGGTCGGTTGATTACCTTTACATATTTTTACCCTAATCAACTGATTTTATTTACATATTTCATCTTGTTATTGATGCTTTCCACTAATCTTTTTATTTTGCTAATCGCTTTCATTGTATTTATTTGTTTGTTTTCGCTTTTTATAGCACAGACGTTATCTAGACTTGGGAAGACAAGAACAACATGTCGAAGGTGGAAATTTAAGTGAACGCCGAAGATTTATACAATCACAAAGGATAGCCAGAGCATTACAAGGTGCTGCAGACTGTAGAATTAAAAAAATTATGGAGTCTGTGAATTATGATGATGGTGATGCCAAAACTGGTCCAGGAGATTGTAATCGATTAATTTCTAAGGGAAGACGTGTTAGTAGCAAGCATAGAGAATTAAACAAGGTAAGAGATTATTATGTGATAGTATATATATATATATATATATATATATATATATATATATATATATATATATATATATATATATACTGAAATGTCACTGAAACGGCCTCCTCAACGTGTGTCAAATCCATCTCCATTTCCTTCTATGTATTTGTTGGGGGATAAATTTATTGATTGGTTCGTTCTCAGAGTTCCTTGTTACTTCTCCTTTTCGGATATCTTATCTTGAGTATAGAAGTAGCAAAGGAAGCTGTTGATATAAGTCTGCAGTCATTTTGAAGTGTCCTTCGTGATGCGCCAAGTCTCTGGGCCGTATAGAAGCACTGGTTTGATATCAGTGTTGAAAATCCGGATCTTGTTCCTCATGGTGATTTGAGAATAACGAATGTCTGTCTAGCTTTTCCGACCCTGTCTTTGACATCTTCACCTGTTCCGCCTGTAGCTGAAACGATGCTATCCTAGATGAGCGAAAGAGGTACCTTGCTTTAGATTCCTCCCGTTGATGGAGATTGGTGCTTGTTGGTTGGTTATATGTTCATCATCTCCATCTTCTCTATGTTCAATTGAAGTCCTGTCATCGCTTCTGCTTCTCATAATTAACGCATAGACAGTCAATATTTGTAAAGTTGAAATTCTGACTTGTCGGTTATCGAGCTATTCTTCAGTTACACATAATGCCACCGTCTTTAAGAGGATCGATGGTCAGTAACGCACTTGCTTTGTGTCGACTGGAATTGCGGAGTCTTCTATCACCATTGATTACATCACTTCTCGGTGTGAAGTGCTGCCTATTTTTATTCACGGGTCGCTGAATACGTTCAATGCCTTTTTTCTTCATGTCTTTTCGATTGTGACTAGCAAAACACTACCTAGCAGTACGTCTAAAGACAGAGTCAACTTTGGCTTAGTGGCATCTGAGTTGCGACGACGTAACTGATTGTAATCACGAGTCCATATGTCACCACCAACTTTCATATCATGAATAGCTTGGCCTCGTCGTACCATATTGTAGCCTTCCTTTCAGGCCTCGTGTCCTGGTCGACAGTCACTGACATAGTCAGCTGTACTAAGCTCGAAATTGCTCCTAATTCTAGTTGATGAGTCGAAAAGCTCGGATTCTTTTGATAGCATGGAGCTATGCATGGTCCTTAGCTTACGTCAGTAAATAATTTGATCTGATGATTGTTTGTTTGGATTTATGCGATATACCATGAAAAATTTTGTGAATGATGTCCCTTCTCCTTTTGCTGAAGTAGGGTTCTCTTTAAAGTGTAGACAAACCGTAATGCTTGATCGTTTGATTGTGTATGATACGGAGGCTTGGCGGTATGTCGACGGCAGTACTATTGAAACCGTTAAGAAGTGAGCCGCGTGAGTCATTATCTGTAACTACTGTTTCCAGAAGACCATCATGGAAGAATATATCAGTTAGAGTTTTAGGAGTATACGACTTTTCTGATGGGACAACTGGTATGATCTCTGGCCATTTCGAAAAAGAATCCACTATGACTAAGTAAGATGCACCACTTATGGGACCAGTAAAGTCAGTATGAATTCCAGACCAAACACTATCTGCTGGTGGCCATAGTGTAGGAAGTAGTCGATTAAGAAGTTTCGCTGCCTACTGACATTTTGAATATAGTTTCACGAAATTGGCGATGTGCTTATTCATATTTGGCCAGTATGAGAAACTTCGAGCAGTAGACTTCACGCGCTGAATACCCGGATGCTCCATGTGGAATTGTTTGAGAAGCTTAGCTCCCGTATTAATATCCGCTCTCCGAAAATCAAGAAATCCTGCGCAGCGTACAAAGAGCCGCAATGAGTAAACAAATGTTTCAAATATTTACTAAATCGAATATTTGGCTGACGGCTTGTTGCGTACTCTTTGGCATGTTGTATGGATTTATTACTGTGTGTTCCACACTTTTACTAATGGAATCGTTATGTTATGGAATGTTTATCTAATTGGTTGTTTCTAGTAGCCGGGGCAATGTCATTTCCATAGTTAGTGTATTTTGTGTTCTTGCTTATTTCCGCGATTAATGTATTGTTTTTGTGAATTCGTATTCTTGTGCAAGGTTATGTGGTTTATGCAGATGTCATTTGCATAATCCCCATAAGATTTACATAGAATTCAACTGAAAGAAGTTGTTTCATGAGAATAAGCCTAATCCGTATAGTTCCTATTTTGGTGCATACAGGTGTAAGCCAAGGCTGCCTATTATCACCGATGACATTCTTAATTGTGGTAGACTGAATTATGCCTCAGACTGTAGAAAGTGAGGAGACAGGAATGGGCTGGACGACTGATAAGAAGACTCTGGAAGATCTGGATCTCTCAGATAATATGTGTCTAATGTCACATAAATTTGAAGACTTGCAGGCTGGCAAAAACCAACAAACTGGCTGAAGAGGCTATCAGCGAAGACAGGAATCCAGGTGAACACAGAAGATGGATGTGGTGAAGGTAAACAATCACCACCACCAGCAACAAGAACCAGCACCAATCACTACCAACGGGAGAGATTTAACAGAGGTTATTTCCTTCACTTATCTACGAAGCATCGTTTCAACCACAGGTGGTCAGAACAGAATTGAAAACATTTATTTCCCGATACGAATTTAAAACAAGCAATAAAGGTTAATAAAGCAGGATTTAATGAATTCATCATCGTCAGAACAGACAAATATGTCAAAATCAGAATAGGAAAGGCAAGATACACCTTCATCAATCTGAAACCAATTTGGAAATCTTCTGAACACAGCTAGCATAAAGAACAAGATCCGGATTTTCAACACAGAGGTAAAGTCAGTCACTTCTTCTATACAGCTCAGAAACTTGATCAGCGTATCACGAAAAGGATTTTCAACTGGTTGCAGACTTTTATCAACAGCTGCGTTCTCGGGCTCTATACTGAAGACCAAAAAGTAGGGTGGCCATAAAGTGTTAATAACAAGAAACTCTGGCCGGGAGCAAACCATCCAAGAGCCAATCGCTCAACAAATATTCAGGAAAAAAATTGAGATGGATCGGGCATACATTGAGGAGGCCGCCGAATGACATCGCACGCCAGGCCCTCGAGTGGAATCCCGTTGGGAAGCGACGAGTAGCTCGTCCTAGAGTGACACGGGGGACATCTTGTGTGGAAGAGATGACAGAGTTTGGTCAGTCGTGAACCCAGCTGAAGAGGACGGCAGAAAACACAACAAAGTGGAGATGTGTTGTTGAAGCCTTGTGTTCCACTCGGAACGCAAGTGAATAATAATAATAACAATAAGGTGTTTAATTGTATGAAAGCAGAGATTTGTAAAAGTGATGTTGAATAAGACATCCAAAATATGCTTTTATCTGGCTATTTGTTCACTCATTGAGAAGTAATGCGTATCAATAGGTTAAAATTATTAACATAGTTTTCTTCTGATCAATTTTACAGGCATATGTGTTGACTCTGTGCATCGCTTCAGTTCTGTTGGTTTTTCCTACCTTATGTGACACTCCTATATTTCTACTAAAACTTTAGGTCGTGGTTTGCATAAGAAATTTATAAACTGATTTCATTATGAGTTGTTGATACTGCCTTACTACTTTTCTTCTGAATTCCACCTACCATGTTAGTAGAAGACGGTTACTACAATCTTTGTTCCTCATGTATAATTTTGAGTGCAAGTTCTGGTCAGTCCTGAGTGTTGATATAACTTCTGAATTGTTATGTACTAGTTTTCCCCGTCGCCAAATTGTTATGTACTCGTCGCTAAATTATTGTTATGGACTGGTCGAGAAACTAATAGTCCTGACGCGAGAAGGCGGAAATCAGAAGACCACTAGGTTTGCGATGATACTTCTATTGTCCAAACACAAGGAGACGAAAATAAATGGTCTCACACCAAAGTGGTAAGTAAGTAAAGTAGTTGTAAAGTAAAGTAGTTCACACAAATTGTGAATGCGAATATATATAAATAATTCAGACAAGCGTGGGAAAAATCATTAGACAGTCTTAACATGAATGGCTAATTATAATGGAGTGTCGATCCAATTATACATAGCGAATATAGCAGACATGCCAACAAACATATATGGATATATGTCACCAAGCAACGGACTGTCAACAAACACTCATATTATATATAATATAATATAAGGAGAATACACATTATTAAAGGAGACAAGTTCATACAAGTGAAGTGGTCACAGACTAACCGAGCAAACAGAAAGAGAGACCAACATGCACACACACACATAAATATATATGTGGATACATATCACCTCCCCTTTTGAGAAGATGGATGATTAGTAGGATGTTTACCTGGGGGTTTATCTGGGACCTTTGGGCTTGTTGTTGACGCCTGTCGTTTCGTCTGATTGTTGGGTTTGCGGCTTCGGCTCCGTCCGGAATTGTCTAGCATTTTATGCTTCTTCACTGTATTGCGTAGAGAATTTAGTGGGACATCAGCCAGATGCAAACGATCGAACCAATCAAGTCCCAAAACATTTAAATCATTCTTCGTGACGTAACAAATTCCTGTGAATTTGGTATTGCGGAAGGAAACAGAACATTTGAGTTCACCAATTAGTTTGAGCCGCCCACCACAGGCGCTGAGAAGAGACTGGGAAGTATTGGTGATAGGTGGTCTGCCAATATAATTCCAAAGTTTCTCTGATATAACAGTAATATCAGAGGCAGTATCTAGCTGCAGACGAGTATCATGACCATTCATCTGAAGGTCAATATATTTCCGCATAGCTGGTGTTGTGACTTGACAGGTTGCACGTAGACTCAGTGATCTTTTTGGAGATTTAGGACCAACATTTTGTTGAGCTTTTGCTGGATTTTGATATCTGGGTTGCGTGGCTGACAAAAACCATTTTTGTGACCGATGATCTTGCACTTGCTGCAACGATGATTTTTGTATGGGCAAGACTTTACAAAGTGCCACGCGCCACAATGCCAGCATGGTGATGGTGGGGTCTTCTTTGCAGTATTTTGTGAAGTTGGACG